TTGACAGTCTATGGAGGTTGTTATCTTATAATGCTAGGTATAATTGCTTCTTCAAATTGAGGCCTGTAAGACATCAGGCCCAATATCTTAGTATGTTTACTACGTGTTGCAGGATTGTAAAGTATTGACTAAATTATTTTCTTTCTGATAGCCAATGAAAGTTATATTGTCTCGTAACACTAGAGTTGTAAATGTGTTTCTCTATAAGTAGAGGACTGTAAGAATTCAGGCCCAATATCATTGCTTGTTTGTTGAATGTTGCAGATTTGTGAATTGTTAGGTTAAATGTCTTTTTGGCAGTCTATGGAAGTTACTGCCTTATAATATTATATCTAACTGTCTTATATTTTACTTATATAATCTATAAATAGAAGTTTGTAAGAATTCAGGCCTAATATCTTAATATTTACTGAATGTTGCATGTTTGTGAACTGTTAGATTAATTATCCTCTTTCTGATAATCTATCAAAGTTATTGTCTTATAATTTTCGACAAAACTGTATTCCTCTATAAATAAAATCCTGTAAGACTTCATCAAGCTCCATTATCTTTGATGTCACTGGCAGCTCCAGTACTTCACAGCCCAGTACTTTATTAATTCTTTTTTTTCTTGATATTATATTTTTGTAGACACACACTCTCCCGATTCTAACCAAGATCTTCCGAATCATAGTAAAATAACGAACCCCTAAGTGCATTCACAGCCAATTTCCTCCGCATCGTTCTCAGCTTTCGAATTTTGGTGGAATCTTTCTCCTGTACTTCGCCTGTTGTCCATCAATGGTTTCGATGGACTCCTTTCTCTCGTCGATCTTGAATAGACGATTAAAATCTACCGTTCGGTCCCGAAGAACGCAATTGTCTCGTTCAATCCACGCGCGCGGCGCACTTATCTCGCTTCCTGTTCCTCTCAGGTATACTCTTTCCTCCGACAGGGGAATTCGAAACGCTCTCGCTTAGAAGGACGAAGGCTTGTTTTGCTTGGACCTTTTTTATGCCACTCTTTCTTTGGGAACAAAAATTCCCGATGAAACCTTTCCCTTCTACTGAAAAATTCGAGTTGTCGATCCTTTGAGTAATAAACGTTAGATGAAAATTGAAATGTTAGCAAGAGGATCTATGCGAAATTCAGCTGTGGATATTATTAAATCGATACAAATTAAAATCGTTTAAGTTGCGTATGCAAGATGTGTAAAGGAAAAATTACAAATACAAATACAAATTTATTTTCTCTTGGAACTGCTAACGATTGCGAGGTGTGCTTTCATCGTAAAACAGAAAATTGCAGCGTTCAACTTAAAAAAAGTCAACCTAACCCGACCTCTGACCTGAGAATACAAATTTACGTGCTCTTACACTTGTTAACGATTGCGTGCGAGAGGTATACTTCGCAGAGGATTTCATCGCAGAAAGGAAATTTGCAAAAGTTGCAGTGTTTAACCTAAGAAAGGTTAAACTATCCTAACATTCAACCCAAGAATGCAAGATTGATGGAAGTTTAAACAGAACGTGCCATCGCGGTCAACAGGGGTTGCGTTTGCGCGCTGGCCAGTGGTCAATCGAAACTCCGCCCCGAAAGAATCGAACGGTGTCCGCGCATCGGCGAAAACACCGAAAGGGATGAACAGAACGTGGGACGTATATATACACGTAGCAAATCGCGGGGATACAGGGTGGAACGGTCGCAATGGCGCAGCCAAGAATTTACCAAAAGCTGTATTTAGGGGGAGGGTTTCCCAGAAGAGTCGCTGACCTGGGTGGTGGATTTTCGATTTTTGGGAAGATGATCTATTCGAAACTCAAGTGTGCGTGTTATTAACCTTCTATAGGAACATTGATCATTTCTGATTTTGACATTGATAAAGACTTATGGTGGTATATAAATTCAAAAGAAAAATTGGTATATGCATTAGTTTGAAGACATTAGTTGCAATCAAATAATGAATGACACGGTCAGATGTCATATGCTTTCATTTGTAATTTTTAATTAATCTTCATCTCACACTCCATATAAAAGAATTTTACCGCAAGTAAATATGTACCTTCTCTTCTTTAACATCAATTTACATTTATAACGTGAAAACCAACGTCTTATTCGTCAAAAATCCAATGACATCGCCCAATATCATACGCTTTCTTTTGTAATTTTTAATTTCTCTTCACGTCACATCCCATAAAAGAATTTTACCGCAAGTAAATATGTACCTTCTCTTCTTTAACATCAATTTACATGTATAGCGTGGAAACCAACGTCTTATTCGTAAAAAAATCCAATGACATCACCCAACATCATACACATCCATTTGTAATTTTTAATTTTTCTTCACACCAAATAAAACACTTTTACCGAAAGATTGATATCGTAGTGCATTAGAGGTTGCAGTGTTGCGATCTACACTATAAACCTTATTCTCTTAGAAAACTCGAATCCCTCGTTTCGAAACAAATTACCCCAACGAAAAAACCACCGTTCTCCTCGTGCAAGCCGTCATCCGATGGTTCCTATTTACATTCGAATGTCTAATTTCTCTTTCTCCGCGTCCAAAGAAATTTTTACCAAAAGATAGGCTGCAATTACTCCCCTGCATCCCGGCGATCCCGGTCGAGGAACGGCTAGACGGATGATAGGAGACGTCGTAGGGAATAAAAGGACGAAGTCACGTTCGCCTGGAACGTCTGCAAGGAGGGCGGAGGGTTGAAACGCGAAGGACGAGGACGAGGAGGAACAATAGGCGCGGAACTATGGGTAGACGGTTCTCTTGTTTTTACGCGGCCCTGGCAGTCCTATCCGAATGGATATGGATACTTGACTGGCGGAGGGAAGAGATCGATGTATGAAACTCCTGCCAATCTCTATGTTAATGGCGACGTTCCGAACTATAAGGAAGAAGGCGAGGAACGGCGGCGGGGATCACCGCCAGGAGGTCTGCTCGAGGACACTTAAAAGTGAATTGTTACGTCTGCGGCTGACCCCGGGACCTTAGCCCCCTCGAGCCGACGGTGAATTATAAGAGCTGCGTAGAAGGAAATTAGATCTCTATATCAGCCGCTAACGCTTTCCACGCGAGGGGGAGGGCGCGGGCTAACTAAATTTCCCTTTCGCGCGAGCTCGCGGGATCGTGGGTACGAATTTATACGCGTTTAATTGGCGAGATCGCTTGCGGAAATATTGAGCAATAGCCGCGAGCTTGGGAAGACCGTTGACTTGTAAATTTTTGCTTTGTCTAATGTCGAGAGACTTTTGCGTCATCTTCGCTGGACTGCGATTGCGTACGCCCGGTAGTTTTACAGGGACGTTCCAGAGAGTAAATTTTATTTGTTACAGGGGCAAATTTATTTGTGTTGTTGTGAGAAATTTGATGAGAAGTATGTGTAAGGTTGCTAGGAAATTTAGGAGAAATTTGAGTGAAGTATTTTTGGAGGTATTCTAGGCTGGAGCTTCCAGTTTTAGGGATTTTTTGTTTGCTTAAATACAGAAGAAATTTTTGCACGAGGTATTGCACGCGGATTTATTCATATTTTAGGAATACACGTGATTTGTATTTATTGAGAATAATTAGAATTACATTTATTATGAGTAAGAAAGTTTTGTGCGAGCTAATTGATGGAAAAAGTGTAGATGAAAAAAAATGAAAAAATAGTAGATGAATTTTCCAAGTCATCTAAAATCATTGGCTAAATATAAGACAATTTTTCATTAAATATATGTAGTATAAGGACACGAGCGATGCCATACGATATTCCATTACTGTGAAGTTTCTTGGGTGGTCGTGGACAAGAAGAAGAGAGACTTGAAGTGTCCATATCCTTAGACAGGAGGATCTGTTTAGTTTCACGAGACCATGTGTACCTTTGCGTAAAACGAGCAAAAGTATACCCACATGTGAAAAGAAAAGCGAAGACGAAGGACTTGAGGAAAGTGACCCACGGTGTCAGATTCCTCCCTACTCTCCTTCAGTTACAAATATTGCTTGTTTTGTTATTTTATAACAGATTGCTTTAGTCTGTTTATTTTTATATTGATACTTTGCTTGTTATTATTTCGATAAAAGATAATAATTTAGAAAAATAAAGTCATTAGGTTCTCTTCCATTAATGCTGATTCGAAGAGCCCGTGAAAAAACCGTGTCTCCATTTGAATCTTCCTCCATTATGTATTACTTGGATGGAAAATCTAATTTCCGTCGCATGTCTGACTCAAACTTATCAGAAATGTCACACGTATCATTTCTAAAATAACATATTCAATTAGTAACACGATTACTCTATCCTTCCTCGAAGTATAACCTAGTCTCTCATTGGTACATCTCCATCAGTTCGAAAAATGATACCAAAATTATAGAGAACTTAGCAAACCTGAGCACTTTTGGCGTGATGTTATTTATAATATCATTTCCAACGCCTTACTTCATTTCACAATTATTCTCGTACCTGTGATCAATTATAAAATTGTTCTTCGAAATGTGATCACTTTTGAGATAATATTATTTGAAAGATTATCTCGAAGAACATCTATTTTATAATTATTTGAAATAATTGTAAAATTGTTCTCCGAAATGTAATCATTTTTGAAATAAGTTTATTTGAAAGATTATCTCGAAGAACGTTTATTTTATAATTATTTGAAATAATTGTAAAATTGTTCTCCGAAATGTAATCACTTTTGAGATAACATTATTTGAAACATTATCTCAAAGACTATACTATTCTATTTCCTAATTATATAAAACAACTGTAAAATTGTTCTCCAAAATGACACAAGGTACAATTCTGAATTAAAAAGCGACAAAGATGAAATAATAACCCATCTCGCTATACTAAAAGTACCTCCAACAAAATATCCCATACGTTCGTTTCTTATTCCCATTTTAACCCGATAAATAACGATCTTAAAAACGATATTAATGATTTATATTAATATTATTATATTATAATTTACATTTATATTTATATTATTATATTATATTATTTATATTAAAATCGTTTTGTATCGTTTCCAGCGGAAACCTCGCAAGGTACCACATCCCCAGACACCGTCCAATGCGGGGGTTGCAGGGCGTCCTACCCCCTCGGCGAGATCGTGCGGTTCATCGAGCACAAGGTCAACCACTGTCGCAGCACGCTTCAGGGCTGCCACAGTCCGTCGGCGACGGCCGCGCCGGAGGACTCCGATCCGGAGGACGCTCTAGCGTTGAAGGCTGTCGATCAGGACTCGAAGCTCAACTCCGTGCCCAGCATATCCGCGCCCATCAACAAGAGGGCGGGGGGCAGACTCGAGAGCCCTCCGACGCCTCAGGGCTCGGGACCGGATGCAGGAAGCCCGATCGAGCTGAAAGCTAGCGCCAGCTCGACGCCCAAAAGAAGGACGGACCCCTCCGACGAAGACAAAGAGGACCTACCCAAGAAACCGAAAACGGAGTCCGTGGACGCGGACACGAACACAGTCAATTCTGGTGAGTCCATCGAGATTCGATCCTTATCCGCAACGACCCGCTTTAACCCTTTCAGACCTGGCGACCACGATCCAGGACGCAAAATTTTAAAATTACTATCGTTTAATTGATTTTGAATCGTTTAGAGCGAATGGCCTTATTCGGGTACACGAAGAAAGTTTTCCTCGAAAATTACAGTATCAGGAGTTTATTTTTTGATCTCTCTAAAAGCATATTGTTAATATCCTCTGCATCACGCCAAAAGCATTTTGTTAATATCCTCTAACAAGTATTTTTATGACGTTCGTGTAAAATTCATTTCGTTAATTATTTACACATACGTACACGTAGACTCAGCCCCATAAGTATTCGTACCCTCTGTAATTTTAGTCCAAGTTGACTGTAAAAATTAAGTCACATTAGTGAAAGAAAATAATTCAGGTCTGAAAGGGTTAACACGTTGAACGCCACCCTGATATGGGTGACAAAGCTTTTCACTTTGAGAGACTTCAATAATTAGTTTTAAAGGCTGAGTGTTATTGAATAGAAATCTGAGTAGAATTCGTAAATTTTGACGAGAATACAGAAGCAAGTGATACGACAAATGTCACGGTGGATATTCTCACGTCAGAAGCAAGGTCGCCAAGAGTTGGTTTTCCCCCCAGTATACGGACGCGTGTCCTTTATGTCGTTGCTTTCCAACACCATTCAGGGCCTTAATTGCTGACCAGTTCTTTGGAATTTGGAAAAACCCGCACACTGACCCAACCTGGACTGCGACGTTCTAGCTTAACGTTCGGTGTGCAAATTCTCAAAATTTCGAGAGCTAAATTGGAGTTTTAACATTTTACATTTTACGACATTTCAATTTTGCGTAATTGAGGGATATTTATATAATTTACTCGTGGGAGCATTCGATAATTCCTGGCTCTCCTGGTTTATCAGTCGCAATTTTATATTCGAGGAAATGGAGTTTCGTCGAGGCGTGTGCTCTAGCAAAGAGTCGTCGCTATGTTTTGACATATTCAGCTTCGAGTTCTGCGCTAGGTCTCGCGAGTCAAGGCGAACTCTATAAATAAAGTGCGTGTGTTCCGGCAACAAACGCGAGTCGCGACTTTCATATTCTACGAAGCTTTAGGACCAACGTTTTTTGGAGATTGATTTAATTTAATTTAGATATTGCTTTTTAAAAGAAGAAGAAAACATGATATTTGTCAACTTTGATGTTAAGTTCCACATCCTTACGTTCTTTTTGAAGAAGTCCTGTCAGAGATTATAAGAAGTAAAAAATAAACGTTTTCTATAAACCCAGCTTCGAAAGAAGCTCGTTTATAGATTTTCTTATCAATTCAATTTTAAGCATTTGATAAATTCCTTACACAGACATGTTTTCAATAACATGTAGTTGAAGAAAATGCAAAAAAAAATTAATTTTCTTAAAATTATGCACTAGAGTCCCCCCTTAGAAGATTAGAAATAGTTGAGAAAAATTACCCCAAAAGTTCAACTCTGCTAAAAGCGTATTGCTAATATCTTCAAACAAGTATTTTTATGACGTTCGTCTAAAATTCATTTCGTTAATTATTTACACATAGATGCACGTACAGTCAGCCCCATAAGTATGTACCATAAGTATGTACCTACCCTCTGTATTAATCGCAGAAGTTTCTATAAATTAAACTATAGGTTTGATATTTTCAAAGAAATGTTTCGTTATAATTACGTGCACAAATAAATTTTACACAATTTTATATTTATAATGAAAAATCTGTTTGAAAACGTAGGCACAGATGGTACGAATATTTATAGGACAGACTGTATGCACGTTTATCCTTATTTTGTGCTTTACCATGAATCTTTTTCTCTCCCGATCAAATTAATGAATATACAAACCCTCTCGAGTCGTTCAAAGTAAAATCGTCTTCAAACTCGAATTCTGACGAGATCTTATAATTCCGCTATCGGATTCGCCAGCTGAGGGGACGGAGCGACGGAGAAAAAGAGAGAGAAAAAATAGAGAGTTTTAAAGTACAGTTACGGGCTGCCATCTGATGTCGATCGTTGGTTCAACGGGCACGAACAATGCCAGCGGTGGATTCGATTTTTGAATTTAAAGAGCACGCTCGGGAATTGGGGTGAACCTGCCCCCATAGTCTCCTCCCCCCTCGATGTGACCCCTTTTTATCGGTAGCCACATTGTCATATTTCGAAGAGCTTAACGCGCAAAGGTCCACACCGGAACGACGTCGGCTATACAGCTCGAAAGCTCGTTCGAAATTACACTTCAACTTCCGCCCTTTGCTTTTGCAAAGTGCAGCCGTTTCCTTTCTCAACAGTTTCATTCTGGACATCGTTAAACTGTTTCCAATTATTTTCGAATTTATTTTAATGGGCCCCTTTCGCGTTTAACGGAGTGGAATTTTATCGGACTCGAAAAACATCTCTATTTTATTATAGCTTGTAATAAGATGATCTCGCGCACGGATCATCTTAGTTCATTGCACCTACTCGTTTTCCCGAGCCAACTTTCGACTTTTAGGGGTGTACGAGCAGTAATATTCGGATAGTCCAACGATTTCGTTAAGTGTTCATCAAATTCATTATTTACAAATACGTAGAGTGTTAATAAGTGAAGTTAATAAGTTAAGAGTCACTAAGTGTCACATTGTTAGATGTCGCGACAGTTATCGAATGATGTATGTGAAGAAATAATCATTTGTGACTGCTCTTTAAAAAGAAATATTTAGTCGTCGTTATGATACATTAAAGTGCCAACTTTCGTAGTAATAGAAGAATCAGATTGCTTTATTAATTATGTGCCTCTAAATTCGATCATTTGTGACTGCTGTTTAAGAAGAAATATTTAGTCGTCGTTATGATACATTAAAGTGCCAACTTTCGTAGTAATAGAAGAATCAGATTGCTTCGACATTTTGTGTTTACAACTATATGTACACCTTTGAAATGTATGACTGAGGCAACATTAAGAATTGCATGACCCGCTGCAGAAATGAATGATAACTTCAAAAGGGACACACAATTAATTTCTACATTTACTATAATGAGTGGCAAGCAAAACAAAATATGAATATATAATAAAACACACAGATTGCTTCACACAAATGAGCACAATGAATGATAACTTCAAAGGGACACACAATTAATTTCTACTTGTACTATTATGAGTGGCAATTAAAACAAACTGTAACGCAGTAAAAACATGTATAATGAAGAACATTGAAGATTCAAAGAAAATATAGCGATTTATAAGAATTTCGAAAGAGTAGTTCTCGTCGAGAGGAGCAATTAGATGTCGTCTTGCCTTTTCTCCGGAACAACAAACTTTCGAACAGAACACCTCTTACAAAGCGCAGTAATGACCGCCGCGAATATCCTTACAGCTACAGTAATTACATGAATTGTTGGCGTGTAAACATGCGAAGATCTTGTCACGAGTCTCGCGCACGGATCATCTTAGTTCATTGCACCTACTCGTTTTCCCGAGCCAACTTACGACTTTTAGGGGTGTAAGAGCAGTAATATTCGGATAGTCCAACGATTTCGTTAAGTGTTCATCAAATTCATTATTTACAAATACGTAGAGTGTGTTAATAAGTGAAGTTAATAAGTTAAGAGTCACTAAGTGTCACATTGTTAGATGTCGCGACAGTTATCGAATGATGTATGTGAAGAAATAAAAGAGTTTCACATCTCTAGTTACTAGTGAAAAAAGAGTTAATAAGTGAAGTTAATAATAATAAGTGAAGTTAAGAGCCAATAAGTGTCGCATTGTTAGGTGTCGCGACAGTTATCGAATGATGTATGTGAATAAATATATTACACGTTCTTCATTTGTACTTGTAACCTGTTTCTAACGATCTGGATATTTCTGGATACCTTTCTTGAAGAATTTTGGGGTTTTATGAAAGCAATTCCCTTAGCTATTTTCGCAGTTCAGTGTGACGTTTTATTCTTTCAATTTTATGTGTTGTAGCATCCTAATATACTTATAAAGTAAGCACATGTGCATTGATACTAATAGACAATGATGCAGTCATGACTGTGTACTAATGGCTTGTAATTTTACCTATGTATGCTGTAAAAACAGTTGCTTTTAGAAAAAAATAAAAGAGTTTGTCTAGTTGCACAGTAAAGACGAAAGAAACGATATTCAATAAAATAATAAGCTCCATTCTTTACAGTAATTCGAACCAACTATGTCCAACTCTATTTGATATCGTCGAGTTAACCGACGATTTTTATATTATCGTCTTGAACAACCAGATACCAGTGCGCTCCTCTACTTTTTACTCCTTTGTTATTAAGTGCAAGATTTCGAGCAATTCGTCGAAACGAATAAATATATCGTAAGCGAGTCCTCGAGCTAGGAGTCGAGGTGTCGAGCCGAAACGTCTGTCGGCACAATAGGGAGTCATGGTTATAAAAAGAGGATGGCTTTAATTTCGCACCCACTCGTCGCGACGAATCGACACCGCGATCGCGGCGGTTTACTCCGATTAACTTCAAAGAAACGGGCGCTGGCCTCAAACGAAATTCATGCAGCATGACGCCCTTGATGAATTGAAAGCACCAGCCTTTGAGATTCTTAACTCCAGTACTTACCTGTGCAAATTGACGCGGCGACCTGTTTTGCATCGCAGAGAGCAAGACGGCGAGAGAAAGGAAGAGAACGCAGGGAAATCGTCGAGGAACGTCTCGATGAGAATCACTGGCGGTCTCCTCTGTTTCCCTTCTTACAATTAGCGTCTTCTCACTTTTGTAAATATTATTACGTTCGGTGGAGCGACCCCCTGGGTGCTCAAGGCTCGTTGAGTCTTAATTGTCTCTCGTTCGAAAGCGACGATTATAGGGAAGCTCGCGAAGGTTTGCCTCGGATAATAATTTTATCAGGCGACCGGGGCTTTTGAAAATTCCTCGCCCGAAGCCTCAGACGGTCTCGGTAGATTTCTTTCCGGGCGAGATTTAATCGTGACTCCCTACACCCTCGGTGAGAGCACAGG